GAGTTCATGGAGGCTATTAGCATCCAACTGACGGCCGGACATCTTGCGATAGTATGCTTTGGCGACTTCCTTTGCGACGTCCATACCGACATACTGGTGTTGGACCCAGAGTGGAAGCTCCCACCAAAGGAAACAGCGACAGTTGTCTCCCATGCAGGGTACGGACCAAGGCGCCAAATTGATCTTGTCCTGCCCTCGATGGCCAGTGGACGCGAAGGACCGTGGGAAACTTGTAGTGCTCGAAGTCTTCTCGTACAAGGTCACGTCATCGAAGACTAGCCTGAGCATGGGCTCGTCCCAGACGTAGTCGTAGACCATCTCGCGGAGCTCTGGTGGTAGAGTGGTGTGGAACTTGTCGACAAAGTTGCGGCACAGCTTCTCAGCGACGACGCGGCTGAGGTGATGACATGCCCTGCCTACGTCCTCCCGCCTGGTCTCGAGCTCTGCAACCTTGTTCTTGAGTTCATCAAGCCTGCGTGGGAGTTCAGCCATAAATCCTTGTGCGATCGCTCCAAGACAGGACTTACTCGGTCTGGACAGAAATCTCTTCTGCGAGAAGCCTATAAGGTGTGAGCAATCGTTTGTAGATGTCGCGAATGTTATCACTGACCTTGACAGCTCTGCCTCGGTTGCCTCCAGCGTGGGCGCGTCGTTGCGGAAAGAGCTTGCGTTCGCCATGCTAAGGACTCGAATATAGATGTTACGCTGAGAGTGTTTTTTGTGAAAGTATTGGGAGTCGTAGGCGTGGGATAGCGGATGTCAGGGTCCGCGCTAATGACGCGCTAACGCAATGCTGGTGGTGTCACGAGAAAGGGACCGAGCTTTGAGACACCGGGCAGTTACGACGTTCGTGTTGCCGTTGAAGCGAAAGGGTATGAGTAGAGTGTTGATTATGATTGAGACAGTCCTTCCGGCCTTGGTGTCGCGCGCGTCTATCGTCTAGAATCTTGCATCGACCCGTCCTCGTCGTCCATTGCGGATGTGTGTATGACGGCCTCGCGCCGTATCTGTCTTTTCGAGCCTCCGTTTCCCCATTTGCATATCCCAATGCCTCATCCGCCGTTCATACATACCTTGGTCCCTTCTCGCCAACTGCCGACGCTTGTCTCGTTTCTGAGCCTAGTACCATCTTCAGAGGACGAAGCCTCAGAAGAGTACAATTGCCCGAACGGAGGAGGAGCACAGTCTATTCTAGACTATTGCTGTACGCCCAAATGTGGCGATGGCGATTGAGAAGGTCGGGAGAGGAAACAGTACTTCTGAAGTGGCATACAGCGCAGTTCGCAATCCATATGGATAGCCTCGATGTTCTGCCCCATCACCTATCATAGGGAGCGTCCGTCCTCATGATGTAGATCTCGCCAACGAGAACTACCAGACCGACGAGCATGGTGATCGCGATGATAGGCAGATTGACGCGCGCAAACTCCAGACCACCAACACGGATGTGCTTTCTGCCCAGAATATCGCGCCAGAGCATGCCCGCCAGCGATGCACTGAAGGCAAGACTGAAAGCACCGTAATTGACGCCAATTGCCATGCTGTATATCGTGCCCCAGAACGTTCGATCGGATATTGGAATGCCGTTTTGACGGTGGATTTCTTGCCACGATTGTACCACCCTAGAGATCAGAATTGTGGTGCCGATATTAGTTCCAGCAAACTGGTACAAAGTTAGCTACGGGAGTTTTATGGTGAAATGAACACTCACGTTACACAGTATGACTGAAACGAAGCCCATGCCTCCAATCGCACCAACCGTCCCAGTCTTCTCAACCCAGTGGTCCCACCCATGTGCAAAGACCGGAACCCAGCCCTTGGTGACCAAAGCCTGGACCAGCACGAACATGCAAAATGCGAAAGGAACGAGCGCCAGCGGGAGGTGGTGGAAGACGGTCATAGTTGTCGGAAATGTCTCCTGTGCCCATCTATACGTGTCTGCGACGAGTGACGCGAGGGTGGTTGGCATCGGCCTCTTGGCTGGCTCTAGCTTCTTCTCGTCCTGCGATACGAGTTCAGCGCCCATCATCTCTCGTGTTCGACCGCTCAATATGTGACTAGACGCCTCAGCCAATGGTCGCGACTTCTCCTCGGGGTTCCGGGCCGTCTTGTGATCCGCTTGAGTGGAGATCGCGTCCAGCTCTTCTTGTATGACAGACTGCCTCCTAGTCTCAGCTCTTTCAGCAAGTGCGGTCTCTGCCCTGCGTCGGCCCTCGTGGGCGATCTTACGTGTCTCTGCCCGATTGAGCCAACCCATTGTGAGATCGAAGATAAGCATGACGAATGCTGCGGGTAAAGTGACCCAGAACACCGGACGTTCATGAGAGCCTTGAGAGGCAGCATTAATCGCCAAGACAGTGATTAGTGTAGCTGCCATGATGGCTGCTCCAAACATCGCGCCTTTCCTATCCAAGAAGGGGTTCAGGACTTCCTCGAGGGATAACTTCTTCTCTTGTTCGTCGTCGTCACTGTTGGGATCGTTCTCGTTGTCTTCGAGTCCACCTTTGGCGAAGGGAATATTGGGATTGACCGGTTTCTTGTTCTGTTGGAGAAAGCTTTGTCAGCACACACTAAAACACCTCGCTTGTGGGAGTGCTTACCTTGAGCTCATCTGGAAGATCTTCCATCTTGATAGAGGCGGGGATGAGAGATTCGTCGTGGAAGATGATGTACAACAAGAAAGGATACAGTACAACTCCCGTGACAAGAACTGGTACGATAATGTTGGCCGTGTACTTGATGAATGTGATCCCAAACGCGCCGGCCAAGACTAGGTTGGTCGGATTGGATGATACCAGTATCGCCGATGCGATGTTGGCGACCGAGAACTGTGTGAAGATCCACGCCCTTGGATGCTTGATGTTGCTTGATACACGCGTCATGTACGACAGGAACGCAGTGCCAGACAAAATGACCGGATCGTTACCGATGAACGCAGTGAGAAGGAAGAAGAAGGCATACAGGTAGAAGAAAAGCCGGTGACCGACTTTCCCTCCTTTCTGCAACACCTTGAAAGCTAGCCATCTAATGAGACCGGAAGCATCAACAGAAATGGCGATGTAAGCAAGAGAGAGGAAGAACAGCATGATATCGTATGGAACAATACCCTGATCACCCAGGGTGCCACCCTTTACTTCTTTTGCGCCAATAGCAAGGATGGCTAGTAGAAAGAGATCCGCTACCAGAGGTGTCGTTATGAAGTTCATGGGAAAGTCGAACCGGACGAATGGTCCAGGCTTGCCATTCCGGACCCTCGTTGGGTGTTGTGGTGGTGCAATGATGCGCAACGCGCTCATGGTCTTGACGAGTGGGGTCCATATTATCCGCGGCACATAGATGGGTATGTGGAATGGAAAAAGAACATTGATGTCTACAAACATTTGCTCGTTAGTCCGCCATCTGCAATGTCAGTACACACACGCTACTTACTTGTCAATACGAAAACAATAAGCGTCACTATAGAGCGCCACTCTTTGATCTTGCTAGTATCAAGGTCAGGCCTCTCTGTCTCTGTGGCGCGCTGGTTCAACATGTTGCGCCCCGTAGCAATGCTGGAAATCCACACTGCAAGATGATCTTGGGGCCAGAAAAACCCCAGGAGGTGTCCTGACGTTTAAAACGTGCAAGAACAAGCTTTTGGGTTCTGGGTAAGGGCCGATTAATGGGTACGTACGCCCGCTAGACGTTGCAGGCGATCTGTGAGCCGGCGTGCCTGGACCGCCGTCGCAACCGTGGACTTCAGTACCGATGCCGAGAAATTGCTTGTACGATGACGCGCGACATGGGCATGGCGGCAGGCAAGTGAGGCTCTTGTATTGTCGCGACATCTGCAGCCCAGGAGGCTGAGCTCGCAGCCCAGGATGACAAGATGATGGCATCTCGGCGCCGGTTGGGCCGCTAGCAAGTAGCGCCTCCCGTATCGAGAAAGGGTCCAGCGCTGACAGGTCATGCCTTCCACTCAGCCTCTCGCCCTATGCAACTGCGACAGGCGAAGACGATATAGTTCACCGGTAATCTGCATTGCCCCAAACCATTGGAGATCTACATGGCACGCCTTACCCCGGAGTCGCGCCCTTATGCGCGCTGCGCAATACCTATGCCGCTGCTCTTCCTTCGTGACGGCTCATCCAGCAATGTCTTCATCCCATCTGTCTTTACCCATACCAGGGAAGCATGTCTGCAACTACAGCGCTATCCAATTTTGCGACCGCTACTTCGACCGCTACAACGTCTAGCCCAACGCTACAAGTTGTCTGTGCCTGGCCCATTTCGTCCAACTATGGAGCAGGGTCGCGTGTTAGTACCAACTCCTTACCACGTGTGGAGTGGGTCTGGACCTATCAGAAAACTGACGCATGAATACAGATCCTGTACTATGTTCTTGTTGCCGCATGTGTAACTTTTCGCAAAGCAGAATGGCTACGGAACACCTGTCTGGCTGCCGTTTTAATTCTGCCGGCCATTTCGGCCCTGCAGGCCCTCGTGCTAGCAGCCGCGCATACGAATGGTCAGTATAACGGCCACCAAGAACTTCAAGAAGCGCATTTCTGACCAAGAATCCTAATAGGCGGCGTCGATATGGATATTTACGGCGTAAGTTCTTGGTGCCAACATGCCGTGCGACAAAAACTGATCGATTGTTTTCGCCTGTGCAGGCTTTCCAGTTTTGCGCAATTGGCATTTTAGCAGCGCCTCTCACAGTGAGACTGTCGCGAACTTATTTCCAGTCTCCTGGTCGCAACATCATATTTCTCTGGACGATACTGATCCTGATGGGGCTGTTGGCCCTCTGCGTCGAGTTCTACCGGGTCACTCCAACGGCCTGTAGCAGCGACGATAATGGGAGTTCTTTCCGAGGTGCCGCTAACTTTCCGTATGAGCATGCTACTTGCAATCTGACGTGCTCTGAAAGCGTGGGTCCGAATTCTCCGATGCGAGGCGGATCTGCCGCCGATGTCTATGTCATTCCCGTGCCGCGCATTCTGACTTTCAACGCCGCCATGCTGCTCTCGGCCGGATTTTGCATACCTGCGATACTGTCCCTGATCTTCACCTGGGATAAGATTCTGGAGATCAACTGGAAGAGACGACGTCACGTGGAGCCGCTAGACACTCGGATCGAGGGCGCCAACATGACGGTTGGAGAGTTGAAAGGCATCAACAACGTCGTGAGAAAGTTCTTGAGTGTCATAGAGATCCCCTTATTTGGCGGGGTGATCATCACAATCATTGGGGTTGGCGAAGCAAATTTCTTCAGTCCTCAGGTGCGGTATATGACGGAACCTATGGCTTCGATTGGTGAGTAGTGTAGCGCAGTGGTATGTTCGGTGCTAACAGAATCCCCAGGGCAATGGTCACCCATAGCTGGAACAATCTTGGCCGCACTTGGCTCTCTATATATCCTGTGGTCGACTGGTGGTGATGAGGCTCCGCAGGAGAAGCATGTGGACCATTGTGAGAACTCTGGCTCATCGCGCCCCAGTCGCAGTAGCGAGCGACGACCATCTCCCCGGCCTCCTTCCTCCACCTACTTCAGCCCCAAGGGTACTTCAGAGAATGGCTTGGGCATACGCTCAGAGTCGCCCAATGCTATTGAACTGATCCCGACTATCACGCATCCCGGCTCCGAATACCCTCAACCGAGCCCTACTTCTCACGATGATCAACAAGAGAATACCCAAGCTGATCAGCCGACAGCCGGTAGAAACGTTGTGCGCAAATGGCTGACGTCTGCTGGCAATTACCTGGGCGATGCTGCGCATGAGAAGCTCGATACAGATCATGTCGGCAATGACGAAGACACTCATAGGTTTCCCGAAGTTCCTGGCGAGATCCTACGAAATCCCGATCTAGAGAGGATCAGTCGCACGTACAGTAAGCTCCGAGAAGAGAGGGAAAACAGCGTATATGCGGCAAGCATTGCATCTACATCAGGTATCGAGGGCAGTGCATCTCCGCCACCTATACAGGATTCGCCGCGTCCCGATATCAGCCCTGTCCGACGACCAGAACGAAGGGCTACGCTAGAAGTACCAAAGGAAGTGCATCGTAGAAGCGAGAGCCATTGACCGGTTACAGGCCAAACCAGGCTTCCGATACGGTCAGATGCGAAGGAACGCTATGGCCTACCCCTACTGCCCAGATACCTTCGACACTCGGACCGAAGTCGTCAGTGCGGTAGTTGCGCTCTGGCGTATCTTTCTTCGAGCTTGTCGGCGTGGTACTGATACCAAACACGTTGGTCCACTGCTTCAGCGTCTCGTCGTAGTTCTTCGGGCTCAATGTTCCATCTACCGAGCCATGCCAGAATTCTTGAGAAGTCAGTACGTGGTTCATGAGCGCACTTAACCGGGGACTTACGCATGCGCGGTCGTGTTCCGTTATACCCGGGATACATCCCTCGAGCTACGTCACCCCAGTGCTGCGCAGTCGAGATGGACTGTCCGCCGGAGCAGGTGTTATTCCACGCTGCCGCTGCCCCGGATGCAGAGACGAAACATCCAGCCGGTACACCCGAGTATAGAGACACTGCGCTGATGAGCTCGGGATAGGTGGCGGCCAGAACGTTGCTCATCATGCCACCTGAGGAGCCACCCGTCACAAATACTTTCTTGGGGTCGATCTTGTACTTGTCGATCGCATAGATGATCATGTTCGCGATAGCATTCGAATCGCCACCGCCATTATGCGACAACGAAGCTTTGCTGGATACATCCCAGCATTCAGTCGTGGAGCTCGGCCAGACCGTCACGTAGCCTTTGCTATCCGACCCTTTCTTCCATGGAATCAGGGAGTTTTGGAAATACTTCTGTGCCGACGACTGGCATGAGTGGATCGCCACGACTAGCGCATCGCTCTTGACCTGGTCAGGCACATACACCCACCTTGGGTGGCGTGTTAGTCAATTGCAACCTTGGAAAGGCGGGGCGCGGATCACTCACATGCCTGGCTTTGCTCGCGCGCTACCGCCATAGTTGGAGACTTGTGTCAACTGTGCAGCGAGAACACCCGAGGCAAGTGCGAGGGTTGCAACAAAGGTTCGGGTAAGCATCTTGGAGGAGCTGGAGGTAGTTTGGCAGTTCCATGTCTGAGCCTGGTCACTATATACACGCAACAGCTCCCCATGGACAGAGTGGGGTCGACTCTCATTCGTGGAAGTTAACACTCTCGTCTCGTCATGTAGTGTCCGAAGCCTGTGGCGCCACATGAAGTCCAGCGTTCATCAGAGCGTTTGTTAGGTAGCTCCGGATAAAGGGGAAGATGCTCGCAATCAAGCTTCATACCAAGCATTTTTCGCACATTACCCGCATATGTCTGTATCCCTGCATTCCACGTCTACCACTTTGCAACTGCCGATATGAAACACGAGGACTCGATGTTACTGGTCGGCCCATCCTCAGAGTCTAATCCAGCTACTCTAGTTGCCGGACGAAGCTTGACGTCAGGCGCAGCTTTTAGACAAGCCTCGCGAGGCCTGGAGAGTAGCGCAATATAGGGACAGGGCAATGAGCAAGTGCTGCTTAGTGAGGCCCGCGGATAGAAGGGTGGTTTCGCTGAATGTCTGGTACGTTATATGAGGCCGACATTGGTGCCATGTGGGGAGCTTCGCGCCGGTCGTCCTGCTTTCTTTGAGGAACTTTGAGCAGACAAGAAGACATAATATCCTCCTAAGAATAGATCAGCTTGCTCGAACAGTTACTTTTCATCGCATTCCGCTCAGGGTAAGGACATTCACGATGTGTCTTCTCCTCGCAACCACCGCCGTACTCTTGGCCCGTCGGGTCTCCGCTCATGGCGGAGCTTTGAACTATACTGTCGGAGACACGTGGTACCCTGGGTAAGGCCAAGATGCAGTGTCCTCAAAGAATGTAAACAAGTCGATCCAGTTAACGATCTTTATAGCTACGATCCTTATGGCGACCAAGCCATGCAAGACGCTGCCGCATGGATGCCACAGCGAAAATGGATTTCCAACAACCCCATTTTCGAAACTACCAACACGTCTCTTTCCTGCAACACCCCCGGTATACCCGCTCGTGCATACATACCCATTCGCGCGGGCGAGAACATAACCGCCGTATACTCGTACTGGGTGCATACCGTCGGCCCTATGATAGCCTGGATGGCATACTGCGACAACGCCGATAATGACTGCGCGACCTTTGCTAGCGAAACGGCAAATTGGTTCAAGATCGGCGAAAAGGGGTTGCTGGAAGGAAGCATCGAGACTGGAGAGTGGTTCCAGAAGGCGTTCAGTATGTGGGACGGAAGTCCAAGCCTATGGAGTGAGACGGTGCCTGTAGGGCTGAAGGCGGGGAGGTACTTGGTGAGGCATGAGATCATCAGCTTGCATTCCGCGAATAGTACGTCCAAGGTTCCTTCGTCCAGATGCAGCTCTTTGAGGATGACGGAAGGTGCAAAGCGCTAACGATCTGGGGTGCTCAGAACCACAATTTTACCCCGAATGCGCGCATTTGGAGGTGACGAACGATAAGGGGGGAGGCTCGATTCCTAGCAAGGAGTATATGGTCAAAATTCCAGGCGTATGGAGTATGGACCGTACGTATGCCAATGGCCGAGCAAAGAGTATGCGACTGATGATAGATAGAACCCGAGATCAATATCGACATTTACAATCCCGAGGTCTCGGCAAAGACGGTACGTCCGACGGAGACATGACTTGCTGCAAAAGCCTTGTGCTGACAGCATTTCCTAGGTATACAACATCCCGGGCCCACCTGTATGGACTGGAAAGCCGTAGGTTGGCATGTAGAAGGCGTGATGGATTTCGCACGCCCTGGAATCACGATCCAGTCAATCGAGGATTTGCACATCACAATTCAGTTATCCTCTGTGGCGCAATTGGCTAGCGCGTCTGACTGTTACAGCTTGCAGTAGCAGTCATCAGGAGGTTGGAAGTTCGAGCCTTCCCGGAGGAGTGAATTTTTTGGTTGCTCATGTGGACGAGGCGGCAGGCTGGCGTGGGTTAACGAAAGAGTACATTTTTGGATGCTAGGGTTGTGGGTAGTGGCATGGACTGACAGCTACCGAGGATCCACGGGTCTGTGGGCTTACATAACCGGTAAACGTCATCAATTAGCGCTATGGCCACGCTCCTTCATGCGCGTCCTTACAACAACGTTACGCGTCGACATATACAAAAGATGTTGCAAGCGGCAGTTCATACCGTCATGACGCGATATAACGCGTGTTTCAATGTGATCGCAATATTGTACGTTTCAAAATTCTCATTCGAAGTCTTTTGCCGCCTGACTGCCAAATCTCTCGAGGACTAGCACTATCTGAACGCACACTCCATACCATCCACCAAACCTTTGCTCGCCCACACACCGTGCTACAATGTCACCTTCTTTCGATAGGCCTTGTGCGATTGAGTCAATTTGACCTTCCGGTCTTTCCACGGGCACCCAGCCTTAATTTCGCGAGCGTCTCACCTCCTCTCACGCCGATCTCACCTCTAGACCCCTTGTCTCACTTGACACATCGTGTTCCTCGGCCATCTCCTCGGAGGCCTTTGCATTATCACGGTCTCTGCGTGCTCTCTGTCTCTTGGCTTTCTTGGTATCTTTTCGGCGGGGTCGGGCGGGAGTCGTAGTGGGTAGACGTGGTGGAGACTGTCCTACTTCCTGGGCAGTATCCTCTTGGTCGACACCAAGCTCCTTCTCGAGACTTCTCCGGAACGCGGCTTGGTCTTGCAGCTTCCGGTAGCGGTTCTTTTGAGGTTCGGTCATCTTTTTCTCCTTCCTCACTAACTCCTGTTGCTCCGTCTTGTCTGCCACAGCTGCATCTTGCTCAGCCTTGAATGACTCGAAAATGGCCTTCCACTCGACCTTGACATTCGGGTAGTTGTTGCGCGCGTTCTTGACGTCGAGATTGTAGCCCGCTAGGTATGGATGCACGGCGCATCCTTTAGGGGAGATGCACTGGAAGCGCTGCCCACAGATCACAACCTCGTCGTATGTATCTGACTTCTTGTCCTTGTCGATGACGGGAGCGAGACACCAGCAGAAGTGCAGCGCGCTGACACATCTCATTGATGGGCCGCCGCCACACTCCTTGTCCTCGCAGTGGTGCTGTGGTAGGAGAGGTCAGTGTATTCCCTCGACATAAGACTAGTCCCTCCCGGCTACCTACGGCGCTGCTCATTCTCTCTTTGGTACGAATGTTTCTCATCATGGCGGCGTTGCTGTCGTTCTTGATATAGTGGCCGAAGATCTCGTCCAGGTCCAAGGAACTCTGTCGCGCGTAGTTGGGCATCTCTGTGGCGATTGCATTCGATGTTTGCTATATTGCAAAGGTTTATGGGTAGTGAAATCAAGCAGACAGAGTCGGGGAAGTTGTGTAGGTTAGTGAGGTTGTACCTTTCTTCGGCAGAACGAGGGATCACTATTGGTTGTTGCAAGAGTTGTACGCCTTTACTACTCGGCTAATAGGCACTATTTATATTGCTATTGTTGTGGTTGCTGCCTATCAATTTACTCGGCTCAGGCTGCCTCGCTCGCTCCGAGTATCGCCGACATTGTGGTTATCTATCCCTACGAGCTTCACTGGAATTGTATCTGCTGAGAGCCCCCTGAGTACATCCCCTCTCGAGGTCATGTCGATTGGCCGCTGCGAGCCGTCACTGGAGCTCTGATCGGCCCATATCACGATAACCTGTTAGTTGGGCCCCTAACAGCGACTCACACACGACGATGCAGATATTATGACTGAATCGTTAGTCATACAACAATGGGCAGCTCCTCCCTAATTTCAACCCCCAGAAATACACCGCATCAGACACGCCCGTCTTTTTACACCTATACATATAGTACCATCCTAGACTCTCGGCTAGGCTCGCATGGGGAAGCATAGTCGAGGAATTAAATGAACATAGGCGATGACAGTCTTTATCAAGCTGTTACTTAGAGTTCTGGTAGTCATAATCCGGTGTTCCATCCCGCAGCGCATATCCATACATAATACGAAGACACTATCGATATACAGTAACCAACACCCTAATACCCTTAAGTGAGTAGTCAAAAAAGACGTAGCTGCCTCAGTAGCGCAATGTAGCGTCCCTCGGTTCTCTCGTCCAGCAATCTGCGAGTGTTTCTCCTCCTCTTTTACGACACATGCTCCCTTCGAAAGAGGGCGCTACTTGGGCCTCATAGTATCTTCTTCAGTTCCTGGTTTTCGTGTCAAGTCGATTGCCAGCTCTGATAATCCTGGCCATCCTTTATGAGATTCCAGATCTTTGATAAATGTCGACAGTGTTACTATGGTCTCGACATCCGTCTCTAGTTTGTACGGGATTCCGTGCCAGTAAGTACTGTATCTGTCGTTCGTGGTCATGCGTACCTTGCTGCTTATAGCTTCTAACATCTCCATTGACCGTTGCTGAATGTTGTGAATAAGCTGAGCAACATCCCCTGAAGCATAAGAGGCGAGTAGTGGTACATCAATTGATGGATTCGGTGCTGGATCGTGGGTCTGCCCAAGGTCGTGGGGAAACTTCCATGAAAAGCCAACAAGTGCATGGGTGGTGCAGGTAGTGGCGCACCGTGAGTCGCAAGCTTCAACTAGGACGTCCGTACAAAGAGAGCGCGCTTTCGTTGGCTGTTTATAAATCCTGTACAGTCCGACTGATACGCCACTTTGTCCAGAAACGGTACGCCATTGCGGCGTGTACATTGCGACTTCGATAGTATCAGCGTCGGTCTTTTCGCGATCCCTGATAGCTTGGTACATTCGTATAGCCATAGCCATCTCCAGGGGGGAACCTTCAGTGCGCCCGTACCGACTGTCATTGGCACCGCTTAGTGGCCAAAGCGGGCGTCCCATCAGTTCCAGACCAACGTGACCGCCCATGTACTCGTCTCTTTGTCCTTTGATAACAGAACGATTGTACAGCTCGGCAAATCTGAAAGGATTTATGAGAATGTCTAGTGCCAAGATTTGCTGGAGAAGCTGCCATACGGTGAGGCTGTAATCGGCGATACTGATGAGCCTCAGTTCTTCCTCAGTCCCTTTGAGTAGGCCAAGTAGAGCGAAAACGCCGTCTACAGGAACTGAACGTGGTAACATGCCAAAGTTCGCAAACAAAGCTTCAAAACTACTCGGTACGCGTCGGAAAACCATGAAGTTGAATGCGTTAGTTTGCGATATGACAGTCGATTTCTCAAATAGAGGTCGATTTCCGTTAAAAGTTTCCAACTTGCTGTAAGGGAGTCTGTTTCTTCCCACCAACAACTGGACTTCCTTTGCAAGAATAAATTCTTGAACAATCCACATCCGTGACCAATACTCTGCTTGGAAGATGTACTCGAATTGGTCTCTTTGTCGTGTATCCTGGCGTTCATCACTTCTGCACCGATAGTACAAATCGATTATGTACTGCCGATTGAAAATGCCAGTATGAGGCAATGATTTGTCATAGCCGAGCCAGCTGTAAACGCACTTGGCGCCAGAATAGATCTGTTTCATCTCTTGAACTTGATGACTCCGCTCTTCAATATCGTCCTGGTTGATGCATATGGCATCCAGCCATATGACCTGCGATTGGTAACGGCTGCGGAAGGCCTTTAAGAAGCGGAAGAGATTTTCTCGCACTTGGAAATGTTCGCCGTTCACGAGTATGGACATTTTTGGCTCGGGTGGACCCCAGACATATGATCCAGCGATATACTGGTCTTCTTTGCCTGAGATCGAAGACGTGAACAATTCACATCGTATTGGAGAAACTTGGAGCAGGCTAGGCAGCACGCGCAAAAGCCGAAAGCTGTCACCGTTATGCAGAAGAGGCGAGAACCGGGTAGAGGCAGACTGCCGGACCTGTGTTGAGTTGGTAGAGACACTGGTGCTTGTGTTGTTTGTTGACATAGCGAACGCCCTGGCCATAAGGTAAAGCCCCGGTTTCGAATGCGAGATGCAAGGCAGCAGTTTCGGATGAAGGGTGTTCTGAGGAGATATACTAACGGGAGCAGACAGAAACGAGGGAGGCTGAGCAACGCCACAAACTTGGCAGCTGACATCGGTACTAGTACTGAGGCCACACCAATCGTATCACCCGTGAGAAGCTTCGAGGCCATCATCGCATGAAATAAAAGGCGAACTAGTTGGATATACTACATCTCAATCATACGAAGGATGACCATAAGGCTGCGACAGAGCTCGCTCTTCATGGAGCGTACCTGACCCTGACGTATTCATTGTGCAGGATTCCGCAGCCTATCAAATGGAAACATAGCGTACATCTCCATAGCGCAGACTACATCAGGTACATCTCGGGAATACGGGCTCGTCTTTATTGCGAGCGTTGCGGCCGTAAAGCAGCCCCGGGGCTCCGAATACAGCTGTGAGTGGTTAGTCCCCAAACTCGATGAATTCGCCGTTCCTTCCTCCCGACAGCTGTTCCGCCTTCTTCTCCCATTGTCCCATAAACCATAATGGCCAGCCTCTCGCTCGTTTCCCGTACGTCCGTCGGAGGGGCTTCGACACAGAGTGTGCAGTCTCTAGGTATGTCGCTCTAAAAGCATTCCACAACTGTCTACCTCCGTCTTCTGTAGCCGTAGGATCGGGGAAGTATGGGTCGTTGCAGGTCACCGATGTGACTAATCGCTGTATGGCGGCTTCGGGTCGATCGAAGGAGAGGAGCGAGGCTTTGTCGAAATCGAGGACGTAAAGGCGCATTTCATCTGACATATGATATGTTCGGTCCCATCGGTTCTGCTTTCTCCAGTTGGGTTTCGACATCGGGGCGCCGAGAACGAGATTTGGCGGTGAGGAGGAGCAGAAGGGTTCGGAGGTCTCGAGATCGCTGGCAAGAATGACTTGCTGCCCATCCCAATCATTTGCTCCACCAAGTACAAACTCGATATCCATACCGTCTACGAGAGCATGCCAATGTATGATAGCCAGGCCTGTAGCCATTTCTTTCGCCAACTCCATCGCCAGGTTGTCGTCGAATGGAAACGATCTGAGGTCCTCTCTTGTGAGAGGAAAGTTCCAAAGGTTGTCCGACCTACACAACGGTTCGTCCTTGCGTGTTGCCAGTCCAAGATATGGTCGCACAAGACAAAAGTCGTTCTCGGGATTGGCGAATACCGTGGCTGTGGATGTAGTGAACTCGTAGCGCGTCATCAGAGCCTGTCGAACCTCAGGGCCTAATGTAGGGATAAGGGATAGGGAAAACAGGAACGGTGCCGTCTTCTTGTCTTCGGCTTCCGTGAAACAGCCAGCGAATTGTGCCCAGAAGTCTTCTTTAGCTTCATCTGCTATCCAGCCCTTGATAGCTGGCACTCTGGGAGTGTAATCTTTGATTTTCCAGTCGCGTTCTGAATCCGTCAACGACCGATGTACGTGAGCAGTCAGCCGTATATCATTCCATAGGGCGTCTCGGTCCCGACCAATCTTGTATGCAGACGTGGAGAGATCCACGCAGGTATAGATGGTGCCGCATGTACCGCGACCGATAACGTGGAGATCTATGGGGTTGTCGCCCAATGCGCGCGCCGAACTCGTTTGGAAGCCATCTCGAGGGTTATCGCTCGCGTGTTCGTTCTCTGCTTGCGCCATGGCGGCAGCTCTGCGAGGAGAATAGGTGGTCTAGATTGCTATTAGAATATCTGCAAAGTCTACGTTGTATTCTTAAACAGTTGCGATACAGTTGCTAGATATCAGCCAGGCGCAATTGACTCAGAGGGCGAGCCATGGTTCGTTCTGGTATGATGATCCATTCCAGGCGTGCCTATTGGAGCGCGCGCAGACGTTCGCAACTGTCGTGCTCGAGTGGATGTACAGGGTCGTCAAGTTGCGATAGCTTGCGTGTATGGAGCCCGCATCTGTCGGAGGCTGCCAGGCGTTCACCGTGGTCATGTTCGCGCTCACATGCGCGTGGATCAGTCCGCGTTCTGGGGCCGTGCCCGGGCTAGACTGAAAACAACCGGCACGTGACTACGCGGTGACGATGACGCCATCTCAGAACCTGCCACCATCATGATGCCACTTTCTAAGCGCGGCGAATGTCTGTTATTGTGCAGGTCTACATCGCTGTTCTACACGCGTTGGTTGTCCCTCGATTAGAATCAACAGACATTTTCGTACAAGATGTAAATTACAAGACCTTGCATCGAAGAACATCGAGGCTCGTACATCGTGAGCGTACAGTTTTTACATACATCATCCGCATGTCTCATGCATGCTTCTACATCATCATCCACAGGCCACTTAGCATATTTTCATTCCTCCACAAAGAACCTGGCCGCAAAAACGACATCGTTCTCGCTGAACACTCCCTGCCTCTCACTCTTCACCTGCCTTAGAATGCCCTGTTTGTTCTTCTTGTCCTTGCTCTCCGCGTACGCAATGACACAATCTCTGTTCAGCGGTGGGTTGCTGTTCGTCTTCAAACGTGTGGGACTTCTAGGCTCTTTCGGTAAGGTGCGGTGGAGGTTCTTGCGTTTCTTCGTAGCCGAGGATTGAGGTGTAGAGGGTTCGTGGCGCGCAAGTTGAGGTGTCGTCAGAATTGAAGTGAGCTTCACTGGTGACGGGGTTTCGTTGCCGCGACGTGATCCGCGCAAAGGTTTGCGTTCTGGTGAGCCATCTGCTTGCGGAATAGGAGCAGGAGACGATCTAATAGGTGCTTGAGGTGACCGGGTGTATGAAATGGGGTCCATATCAGGCTCAGGAGTTGTATGTAGGCTGGAAAGAGGGGACGATGTAGCAGTGTCCCAGATCTTAGAGTTCTGGACGACCGGTACCGCGATCTTGGACGATGGTCCTGCATCCGGCTTGTTTCTCGGTTTGGCGAAAGAGCGAGATCGACGTAGTCGCGCAGATGCTTCACGAAGAATCTCTTCTGGATCCTCGAACCAGAATGGATTCGCCTTTGGGCCATGTACACCAAGAATGTTGTTGCTAGAAGTTGTACGACGCAAGAGTTTTGGTTCGGTTGCATGTATACTATGGTCGATTGAGTCAGCACCCTGCTGATCGCCATGCAGCTTGACCTCCTCCACTTCAGGTCGTTCGCCCTTTGGGATAGATTTCTTGACAGTAGATGCGGGTTGTTCAATTACAACATTCTGTTGGAAAGCGCTGGTCTCTTGTTGGTCGTCGATAACGAGGGGCAGGTCAGTCTTCGCGTGCTCTAATGGTGATGTAGGTGGCGGTGTTCCCATCCGGACCGTACTTTTCTTTGACCTGCGAAAGTCGGTATTTGCCTTCATTGAATCAACCGATCTTTTCTGTTCATCATCTCCTGGGACTATGTCCTGTCGAGTCGAATTCTGGGCGGGGCGATTGGAAGCCAATTCTAAACGCAGTTCAGGCTCCCACCTATGATCCACTAGAATTAATCTGTCTTGCCCATAGACCACCAAGCGTCTGACCACGATATTGGAATTTGTCTTCACTGACTGTTTTGGAGGAGATGCTTTCTTCGGAGAGACACTTCGTTTTGGTTTTGTAGGTACTGAGTACAGAGCTGCTGGCGGCAACGGCAGGGACAGTCTGCGATCAAACGGCGGAAATGACAGGTGTGGTGGCCGAGATTCCTGATATCCATGGATGTTTGCGACCTGTGGTAACATGTTTGGCTTGTAGCTCTCGGGAGCTCCGCAGAAGTTGGACCCCACACCGGACATGGTATAGTCTTGACGCGTGTATTGGCTTTCGGGTAAGCCACCGCGTGGTTCTCCAGGCAGAGAACCCGCATGCAGCCTATGGCTTGAGGGTGCTTGTCTGACCCCTGGTAAATGTGTAGGAAAAGGTGATGCGTACTGGTAACCTGGGCCCTGAAAAGTCGTGGGAAAGCGATCAAGCGGACTAGACGTCAGACCAGCGTTGTCGCCCGGTATCTGCCGCATGAGATCACTGGGTGCGACTCCTCCCAGTGTTGGATCCGAGAATTGAATGGTATATGGTGATGGAAGCATGTGAGTCGTGTGCGAGTTTGGGGTCAGATCTGGATACATCATCTTCGGAGTGAACCCTGCACGCGACGTGAGCTCCGCTTCTGAGATGTGTACTGCGTCGTGCGTATGCGCTCGTCCGGACTCCAGTGCACGCGGTGTGTTGGGGGTATCTGCACTTCTTCGAACTGGTGAAGACGTAATTCTTGCATCTGTAGTGTTTGGTGCTATCAGTGCTGGAATGCTTGATCCGACACCGGCGAGTGGTGGATTTGACAGCGTCAAGGGTTCCATGGTTAGAGCTGATGGCAAGATAGGTGAGATATCCTGCCTCGACTGCACTCCGGGCCGGAGAGTTCGTCTCTTTCTATGAGGCCCATACTCTGGATCGCTGTCTCCTTCTGCATCCACGTCGATGACCTCCGAGCTCGGCTCCACGGTATCTTGAGGTTCCGCGTCACTCTCACTCTTGCTAGGCGCATCGACACGCAGATGTATAGTACTGCCGTCGGCTCCAAGTACGAACGGGTAACTCTCGTCGATCATGCGCTTCGGTGCCTTCAAATAGCCGACGCCGCTAGTGAGCTTCCTACCCTCTCCAGATGTGATGACTACGTCGATGACTCCGAAAGTCTTTCCACCTGGCCTCTGCATAGTGTGCACTTGCTCCGGCATCTGCGTTGTCGCAAGCGCGCGGAGGAACTCGGCAGTAGGAGGAATGCTGCCTTGTTCGTCGGTACCCCGCTCGCGTGCTTCAGCTTGGAGCGCCTGGCCGATGTGTTGCCATCGCTGTTCTACCGAAGGTGGTGTGTTATTCTTCGCAGTACTGCCATCTGCGGCGACTCCGGGTGGTAGAATGATCCATGGCCGCTCAGCGAGAAAGTCGACTCTAGTGCCCGCGAAAACCTGGTGATGGTCTTTCGAGCCAGATTTGCCGTCGTAGTTGGGCATGGCCAAACATGCGGCGAGTGTTCCGTTGAAGAAGACTTCGATCTTGAGCGATGTTCTCTGGTTGTAGAGGCCGGAGACATAGGTCTGGTCGGAGAGGTTGACGTGGAGGGTAAGTGCTTTCAGTGTGCGCTGCGAGACATCTGAGAAGCTATCGTTAGCCGTGATGGTGCTGTTAGTATTAGGCAGAAGGTACGTACCCTTCGGCGCACCCTGTGCGTCCCCCGGAGCTTCCTCTTCGTATATGTCACTCCCGACCCGGGTCTGCATGAAAGGCGCTTGTGCGAGCCAGTTGAGCTTGAAGGCGGCGTCATCACCGGGGAAAGGCACCTGCTCTTCCTTCAACAGCTTGCTCCCCAACAGCCTCTTTTCAGCTAACGCAGACTGCTGCTTGGCTGCCTCACCCTTTCTAAGTATGATCTTTGCTGTAGTCGTATCGCCGAGCGTAATTGCGCCCAGGCGCACGGAGACGCCGCGCGCGAAGTAGGTAGGCATATTTGCGGGAGGTGAAAGAATATACACGTATTACGACATGGCCGTTGCAACAGGCAATGCCGCAATGCCTGGCAATCGAGTATCTTCGAATCGGATGGGTGCGGTGAGGCCGTCTAGAGCGTGTCGAGCATGGTGGGGGAAGGGGGACGCGTTGCGGTGACCGAGCGCTGCTGAAATTGCGTGACGTATATCGTGGACTTCCGTTTCCGGCAGGTACCCTCCAGTGCTCTTTCCACACACGCGTCCTCACCGCCGTGACCGGACCTGCGTCTATGTACACCCTTCTCGACGTATGGCTATCCTAGATGTATCCAAGTATGACGATAGCGGATCTTACAATGAGAATTTTCATGCGATGGACAGAAGTGAAAAAGATGAAAATCAAGGATTTTGGAAGATATCGACGCGCCGGCAGCCCATGTAGAGAGAAGACTGAGAGTAAGCATCCCGATAGCAATGAGTGCTATCCGGACGAAGAGACATTTACATGGATCGCCTAGATTGCATGCTTTCGCCGCCTACACCGACCTCCTTCATAGACAAAATTAAACATCCTCGGGCCTACGTCAGCTCTAGGCTACCTACGTTGTGTAATTTCATCTCAGTGCAGGATGCAGACCTGTTCAGTCCTTTGCACCCACAACAATCCGACACATCTAATGGAGTACCTCGGGCAAAAGACCACACAGCTGATGCCAGCTGATGTAGTGCATCAAAGTTCGATTTCACCCCCGGACTCAACGAAGCCTCCGCCGCTTCTTTGCTGCTCAGTGCCATTGACGCCCCAGTCGTCGGTAATGATGCCAATCGGCGGTCCGCCCAGGACGTCGCCTAATTCGCCTATTGTCTTTTCGTACACGCTCGCAACACCGCGCTCTTCCCAGTCCTCATCTTCCTCATCGTCATCATTGTCCTCGAAGCCTTCAAAGGTGACAGTGCCTTGACGTCCACCAGCCTCTGCCTCTCCTTCCGTATCCGTGTCCATGGCCTCACCTACATCATCCTCGTCACCGACCACGCTGTCTCCGCTCATTACACGGGTGACCGTGAGCCTGGTCCGGTCTACAACGCCCTTCAAGCGAACCTTGTCCGTTGTGGTGACTGTACGACCATTCTCAAACCCAGGTAAGAACTCTCCGGTCGCAGTATCGTGCCCGGTAAGTAAAGAGGAGAAGGCGTAGTCGAGTTTCGAGAGAAGACGGAAAGTAGCCTGAGCGGAACGCGTTGAGGAATCGAATAGCGGGAGGAAGTCGGCGGTGAGGACGGCGAGGTTGAGCAGATAAGGTATCTGGAGGTTCGGTGATCCAGATACCCAGACAACATCTACCAGGCCATCGAGGTCTTTTGCGACTTCCCAGAGCGCCTTGTATCCGTCCTCCTCGCCCGGCGCCGGCTTGAGCTTTCGGTTCGTCATGCGATTGTCCACCCGCTTCTGGATGCTGTTGACGCCATGGTCGAGGTAGCGTATCAGATCAGATTCCCTCGGGCCGCCGGGCTTCAGCGGGTGTTTGCGGGCTTGTGGGAGGGGCGATGCGTGCTGTGACGGCGCGGACGACGCTGGGGGAGTAGGAAGTTCGGCCATACTAAACACCCTGGAGCCTACGTTGACGTTAGATCGCCTACTTTGCATAATCTTATCTTAGTGTAGGCTGCAGACCTGTTTACCTAATATAGATTGTAGACCTTTCCAGCTTTTCTGGTGTATAAGGTGATAGTGTGTCTATGGTTCCAGGGTTTTGTTCACCGTCACGGTGGCAGGTGGAGACGCAAGGTAGTGGGTGAGGGTTGAGGTGCAACCGTCATTCTACGCCGTAGGGTGAGCGCGTTCTTCTTCGTCGCGTGCGGAATCGACTCGCGTCGTGTCTTTTGAGTTGAGAAGTTGCACTGGTGCTGCGATACCTGAACGTGGAGCTCCTGATGGCGAGATGACGTTCGCGGGAGGTTCCTCCGTCATCCCAGCCCGTGCCCTGGATCATCCCGCAACACCATCAACAGAGTATCACCAAACTGTCGCCACACCTCCGACACCGCATGTACTTCTATCATTACTTACCCACCCATCTGTCAGTAGCCTTTGCTTGGTCATCAGGTACTCCTATCACCGGAGAACCTGCAGTAGCTGAGGCAACGACAATCACGCTCACGGCTTTTCCAACGGACACAAGGTACGTTTCCGCCAGGAATGCGATATGACGGAAAACTTGCATGCTTCGGAATAGCATGCCATCGGAGTTCAGCTGCTATGCCGTGCATCTCACAACAAAGTAAGCCGCTACCGCCATCGGCCCGTCCTGAGTGGCCAGGAGCAAGACAAGGGCGCTGATTAATCACCAGCGCGCCCTTCTCCAACGCGTGCGCGTGCGCCCTACATGCATGTATCATACGTCCGCGACGCCGATATGCATACCTAATTAAGCCGCCAACAATCAACCATGTCAGTATACTTGCGATGGCCCACCAGGTGCCGCCCCTTTTCTAGAAGTTTTCTTAGCTGCAAGAAAGGGAAAATTTGCTAACAAACGCAACTTCGGAGAGCCCCGATTGTTGGATGAGGTTGAAACGCGACGTTTATTGACTCTACCACTTAACGGCATAACGTTGAAAATTTGCAATGAAGCCTATGACAAAAAGTATCCACCCGTCGTGTACTCTCAGCGCGAGTAGTCAGGAACGTGTCGCGCTTGTTCAACTTTTGTGGCATGAGATCCTGTAAGGCTGGCTTGAGGCACATAACTGACCGCCAGAGTACCGCTATGGTTGGTGGGTGCGCCGCAAGCTAGCACGTTCGCGACGGGCAAGATCACAGAAGCTGAGAAAAGCAAATTCGAGACCGTTTGACTTGTGGAGACGCCCTGTGTCGTCCAGTACTCAGCTTTGCGGAAATGTAGAGACAGGCACCTGTATGGGCTTAGCGCACGACGCTATTGGAGTCAAGGGCGTGGTTTGTGATGGATGCAGGATGACTCCCCCGCGTATCCGACGGCAAAGCAAGCCATCGCTCAGCGCATCATCCATCTGCAGCATGCAACCTTCTCATCACCTACCAGCCCTAGTTTTCTGCCGCTTGCAAATGACTCAACCCAGGGCGTGCCTGAGTGCCATGTATAAGACAATCTTAAGGCCCACTTGTTTGTGGTGCAGTCCTGGAACAGACGTCTTATCTTCACTCGCCACCTACTAGTCTGATCTCTGCCTATTCGCACTACCCCAGCTGCCCAGCTCTCAGCTTCTCCGCATTCGAGACGTCTTATCTGAGCAGGATTGTTCCCCGCTTTCTGGTGCGACCTTGCCTTGGCTATTGCGACTAGCAGGCCGACCTTAAGGCACGCGACAGCATCGACATGTCTTCTTCATCGAACACATCAGTGTTTGCGCCACCAGACAGGATGCAGGCGCTGGGCAATCAAATCGGCTACAAGGTCCGCAACATCTCGCATCATGGCCAGCCTACCATCGTGATCGATCTCAACGACAGCAATGGCCACTGCCACAAGTTCATCACAAGCTATGCTTCCATGGATACTATCGAGGGCACAGTCACCATCACTGCACCGCACGACACTCGTTTTGAGGACATCGACATCGCATTCACTGGTAAGCTCAGATCATACACGAACTTCGCAATCATCGTATCTGACATAACACAGGTACAAGCCAGGTATATGTGGATAGGATGACGACTACGCCAACAATGACAGGACGAACAGAGGCAAAGCACCGGTTTTTGACTCTTAGACAGCCAATAGACCAATCAAACTTCCCCTCCCCAAGAATTTTTGAAGCTGGAAGACCCTACAAGTTTCCCTTCACATTTACCATCCCTTCGCAACTACTACCAAAAGCCTGCTCGCATCCAGTAGTCTCGGATCACATACGCGACGTACATCTCTCACTACCACCCAGCATTGGCGATCCCGATCTTGCTGGTTTTGGCAGTACACTGCTTGATGACCTTGCGCCGGAAATGTCAAAGATCACCTACGGAATCCAAGTCAAAATCGCGCACACTCGCGGATCAGAAGGCATCTCGGTGCTTGCTGATAAGCTGAAGAAAGTGCGCGTGAAGCCAGCCTTTGCAGAGCAGCCCCCACTGAACATTGATCACAACGACGAGTACCGATCGCGACAGGAAAAGACAGTCAAGAAGGGTTTGTTCAAAGGAAAGCTCGGGACGTTATCTGCGAAGACTATCCAGCCGCCACCTCTTGTCATTCCGGGCGCAAGATCAACAGAGGGCAGAACGATCACGACTATGGCCAAGTTGGTTCTCCGTTTTGATCCCACAGAGGAGACCAGCGCACCACCGAAACTCGGTTCATTGGGGACAAAGTTGAAGGTCGTGACCTACTACGCCTCAGCTCCTAGGCAGAATCTACCAACGCGGTCTACGCTCGGGTTCGATCTGTCGCAAGGCCTATACTCCGAGTACGTGCCGCTGTCCAACCTTTGCATCGCCTCCGCCCAATGGGAACAGCACGATGCGGCACAAAACCCTAGTCCAGAAAGCCTGGTTCGACGCGACTCCGGCATTAGCGATTGCTCAACTCTGAGCGAAGCGGAGAAAGCCTTCGCGATTGGCATCCTACCTGCATCCAAGGATTACAAGCAAGGTGCCTTCTACACAGCGCAGATCTTGGTGCCAATCACCCTTCCCATGACACAAAACTTCATACCAACGTTCCATTCCTGCCTCATCTCACGAACATATACCCTCGCGCTGCAGTTCTCCGCCCACGGAAGCTCCAGTATACATCTGAAGGTCCCGATCCAGATCTGTGCCGAAGGCAGTGATACTGGTATTGAGAATGCTAGGGCGAGGAGTGTCGAGGAGACGGCATTCAGAGCTGCCTCTGATGTCTTTGCTCCACGCAGCGTTGCGCCTCCAAGCCCTGAGACGGCTCGCAGCGCAAGTGTTGGTACGCGAGAAGAGATGCCGCCCGGCTATTCAGCTTTTGCGCCGCCCAGCACGAGGTACAGCGTGAGCCATTCAATCGTGACCT